ACACACACACACACTCACACACACTCAAAAACATGCACGCACACACACACACACACACACATTCAATCCAGAAGGTATAGGGTGCAAATATTAAAGACAAATATTAAAAAAGATTTAGAAATATTTTTAGATATCTATTTTATACCTCTTTTATATATTTTAAATGCCATTTTCTGAAAGTGACATTTTGCTCGTGTAGCAAACGAAATATCTCTACTTTTATCCATTGCTTCAAATGTGATATTTCTGTTAATTGCTGGGGAGTTTTTGAATTTCATTTATCTTTGACATTTTGTGGGCCTTTTCATCTTAAAAAGGGCAAAACATCTTCATTTACATGCACAGAGTGTTTTATTAAATATTTTGTTAAATAAACAAAATGCTGCCAGTTACCAACGGCAGAGTTGTTGATAACATAACAGTTGCGATGTTTTCTTTCAGGTCTGTGTCACTTTTTATATATGCTAATATGCAAATGTGTGCATATTTAATCCAGTGATGAATAACTTGCATATTTTGAACATTTCAGTGGGTAAAGACTACATTTCCAAAACATTTTTTTAATGTTACTGAAGGAAGTCTCTTCTGGTCATCAAGTCTGCATTTATTTAAACAAAAATACAGTAAAAATTTTGAAATATTTTTAAAATGTCGTGTTTTCTATGTGAATATATGTTAAAATGTAATTTATTTGTTACAATGTTACAAAAGATTTCTATTTTAAATAAATGCTCTTCTTTTTAACTTTTTATTCATCAAAGAATCCTGAAAAAATGTACTCAACTGTTTTAAATATTGATAATAATAAATGTTTCTTGAGCAGCAAATCAGCATATTAGAATGATTTCTGAAGATCATGTGACACTGAAGACTGGAGTAATGATGCTGAAAATACAGCTTTGATCACAGAAATAAATTACAGTTTAACACATATTCGAATAGAAAGCAGTTATTTTAAATAGTAACAATATTTCACAATTTTACTGTTTTTGCTGTGCTTTGGATCAAATAAATGCAGGCTTGGTGAAAAAAAACATTGAAAATCTTACTGTTCAAAAACTTTTGACTAGTAGTGTATATATTCAAGCGTTTATATGCTAATATATGGTTGTTTCTCTGTTTGGAGTTATCATATTACTTATTATAGGTGAATTGAAGACTCTAAATTGTCCCCTGACTTGTGTGTATACTTGACTTGTATATGGATTAAGTGGTTCTCGCCATGAATATAGCCGTATGAATGCTGGAATGGCGTTAAGAAGTAAATAAACAAGCAAACAAACTTAAGTTGTCATGTTGGGTTGTGCATAAACCGTATTTTATTTAAGAGTAACCAACAGTATGCTATACTTATCATTTGTAGTGCACATTCATACATCTAAAATTATACCAGTTTTAATGTTAATTCACTTTATTATACTTCATTATTTATAGTTTTATACATACATATTGGTTGTATTTAAAATACCTTACGTTTTTTCCATTCTTATTAACATTTCTCCATTTATATCTCTCAGAACTTTGTTTTTTCATGTATACTGAACGCTCCAACAGGTGGTGCAAATGCATTAATTTCTCAAAAAAATAGAAGAAGACTGAGGCGCTGAATGCAACTTGTACCTGAGCTCTGATCACCACTGTTCAGCCAATCACATTCAGGTGTGCAACTTTGACTTTATGTGATCAATATTAATCACCCGATCAGC